TCCCGGCATCTGGCACCAACCACCCCCTTTTGCAGAAAGGCCCAAGTGGGGGAAGATGTTGCTGTTGCTCAATGACCCTGTGAGGGCCCAGGGCCCAGCTCCTTCCTGGTGCTGCCAGGAATGGCTGGGTGACGTGGCGGAGTGTTGCAGACCCAAAGAACAGGCACCATTGTCACAGTGGTGAGAGGGACCTCTCACAGCTGGCACAGTCTGGCCAGGTTTGACGCCTCGAGTCTCCTAACCCATCACCGGGGGATTTATAGCTTTCCTTGCCTGGGAGCATAGCTGGGTGCTTTGGGGAATCTCAGTGCTGGTGTGGAAATCAGAGGGAAGGGGCTGCAGGCTGTTAACTGTTGCCCATCTCAAATTTGCCCATCACTGCCACCAGCATTGCTGGTCAGTTGTTCCTCACCATCCCCTCCAACCCTCCCAGCACTGGCAGGCGCCTGCACCCCAGCCCTGGGCACAGGTGTTCGCACCGGAGACCACAGTCCTGGGGAACAGCAGTTGCTGCCGCCTTCCCTGCCTGGGGCAACCCGCATCCTGCCACGGGGTTAAACTCCCCAAGGAAAGGAGGGAGGAAGATAGGAAAAACAATCACAAGAATTTGTTTCATGCTGCCTGGATCCCTCCCCGCACGCAGCAGTGTTTTTGGACGGCCAATTTATAATCAGCAGTGTGGAATGTTGTAAATTAAATATTTTTAAACAACTTTGCTCTCTCTCTGGTTAAACATTTCAGAGATCGCTCTTTCTTGTCTGTCTCTTGCTGGGTGGTCCCTCCATTCGCCCGTACATCTTCCTCAAACACAATTAACCATTTAGATGTTGCACAAAGGAATAGCTTATGCATACAACACCAGTCGCTTGCTGCTCCGGCACTGGGGGAGGGAGGCAAATAAGAAGGCAGCTTCTTTTATTTTCTACTAAAAACAAAAACAAGAAAATCCCTTTTTCCTTCCCAAACTATCCCATTTTTCCTTGAATTGTAAAGGCACTGATCCAAGCTCATCAGCTGTCTTGGTGCTCAGTCCAACAATCCCCTTGCATCCCCCCTCCCCTGAAATTCAACATTAGCATTTTAAAAGCCTAAAACATACAAGTTTATTTGGACTCAAGCTCTCCCAAGCTCTTGCTTTCCATATTTATATACACACACACGTATTTTAACGTATATAAAATGTCTGTCTATAGGGCCTGGAAGGAAGTTCCCGTCTGCCGGCCCGTCTGGGAGGCACAGGCGTGGCTGTGGACCTTGGCTCCTGGGAGATGGAGTGAAAACCGACAGGATCCAGGAATCAGCTGTCCAGCTGAGAGGGAGTGAGCCTTGGTGGGCAGGATGCTGTAGAGGTGCTGGGGTGGGTGTGCTGGGTGCAGTCCCCCAGCGAGAGAACTTCCACATCCCCAAATTAACTCTGCAGGTTGCCAGTGAGAAGGGCTTTGCGCTCTGTGCTCCCCCCATGGCAACCTGAAAAGCCAAGGGACCCATCCCCAACCGCCCACTGCAATAATCAGCCCTTTAAAACAGGTGACCAAAGGCCACAGGAATGGCTGTGTGTGACAGGAGGGCAGCACTGATGGCCACTGTGGTGTCTTTGGCCTGGGTTACACCATGCACTGCGCAATGTGTGGCTGTCATGCTATTGCTGCCTATGCAGGTGATTCCTCTGCGAGCCCCACATGGGGCTTGATCTCACTCTGCCTCTCCCAAGACACTGGGGCAGGGACCAGAGCAGCCACTGGCCCTCACAGGATTTGGGCCAGTGTGGAGGCAGCAAGGTACCTCCTGGAAACACTGGTGTTCCTCAGACCTGTGGGGGTTTATTAGGAAAATTTTGGTCTCTGGATCAACAAAGTCCAAAGGATGGGCAGGGGCATGGTGAAAATCACTCTCTGCAGGCAGCCAGAGAAAGG